ATCGTCATCTTGGGAGCTTGATATGGTTTCGTATATATTTTATTGTTTCCTTTTATTTTATTTTATTATTAATATTTCATTAAAGTAGTTTAGTTCTTTCTAAACTCATAAGTCTCTTTTTCCCTCCTCTGCCTCTCTCTTTGAAGAGGGGTAGAGGGGAACATCTGTTGGTCCCATCTGGGGTCCCCCAGGTCCCCAGTAGCCGATTTGGCCTAAACCACGACACCATCGTAAGGATCTTGAACTCCACCATCTCATGGTCACTGCAGCCCTCGAGCCTGACATTCCCCACCAGCCCCTCCTTCTTGGTGAGAACAAGGTCCAGCATGGCACCTCTCCTCATTGGCTGCTCTATCATTTGGAGAAGGAAGATATGATCAATGCATTCCAGGAACTCCCTGGATTGCTTATGCCCTGCTGTGTTGTCCCTCCAACAAATATTGGCATGGTTGAAGTCCCCCGTGAGGACCAGGGCTTGTGAATGTGAGGCAGCTCCTATCTGTCTATAAAGACCCTCATCTGCTCAGTCTTCCTGGTCAGGTGGCCTGTAGGAGACCCCCACTGTAATATCACCTGTCCTTGCCCTCTCTTTAATCCTGACCCATAAGGTCTTGGTTGGCTCCTCATCCATCCCCAGGCAGAGCTTTGTGCACTCCAGCTGGTCATTGACATAGAGGGTGACACCTCCTCCTTGTTTTACCTGCCTGTCCTTCCTGTATCCTTCCATTCCAACACTCGTCACAGGAGCCATCCCACCATGTGTCCATAATGCCAATGTCTCTAATTCCTCTTGTTTATACCCCATGCTAAGTGCATTTGCATAGAAGTATTTAAGTTGGGCCCCTGATGAAGTTGACTTACTGTCTGGAGTGGTTGGAATTCCTTTGTACTGCAGTCCAGGTGTTTCCCTGCTGACGTGCAACCCTTCTCCAGGTTCTGGACATCTATTGCTGGCACTGGCTTCAAACTGGCATGAGTGCGACAGATTGAGCTTTCCCTCCCCTGGCAACACTAGTTTAAAGCCCTTTTCACAAACATGGCAAGCCTCTGACCAAAGATGTTCTTCTTCTCTGACAGATGGACCCCATCAGCCCCCAGTAGACCAGGTTTCAGTGCCAGCCGGTGTCGTGATTGTCATCTCGGGAGCTTGATACGGTTTTCTATATATTTCATTATTTTATTTTATTTTATTATTAATATTTCATTAAAGTAGTTTAGTTCTTTCTAAACTCATAAGTCTCTTTTTCCCTCCTCTGCCTCTCTCTTTGAAGAGGGGTAGAGGGGAACATCTGTTGGTCCCATCTGGGGTCCCCCAGGTCCCCAGTAGCCGATTTAGCCTAAACCACAACAACTGGATACTACTTTCTTTAGTAATTCAAATTTTCTGCACCATCCAGCTACAGTAGGAGCCCTTTTCTCGTTTTGCAAAGCTTCGCTCACAGCTTGCTGGCCCTTCTGCACAGTGCTGTGCACTCGTCCCTTTTTCCTCTGGAGGTTTCCCTACCAGGAGAACATAGGATGTATTAAAGTCACAATGTCAAAAGAGAAGTTTCTGAAAGGTTGGCACCTCACCTGCTGCCTCAGATGTTTCAGGTGAGTAGACGTTTATTTAATTTAACACAAAACAAATACAAAAACTGACCCAGTGAAGGCAGGGACAGAGTGAAGGACCATGCTCCATGGACAAAATTATATTAGTTGACAGATCCTGTTAAGGACAGAAAATACTGTGGGAAAGACCAGGCAGGCTTAGAGCGATGTGAGTCTGTAGGGTGATAGTGAGATTGTGTAACTGGAAACTTGTCATTAGAGATGCATGAGCCAGACTGAGACTCGTGTCAAAGGGTCTGGGAACCCCCAGAAAAAGATGCATGGCAGAACCATGATGTCTTCAGAGTTACATCTCAAGTGCCATTGTTTGAAAGGAACCTCTGGAAGTCATGTGGATCAACCTCCTGTTCACAGCTGGGGCAGCTTTGAACTCTGATGAAGTTGCTCGAGGACTTGTCCACTCAAGTTCATGCAGTCTCCAAGGGCAGAGATCTCCCAGCCTCCCTGGATACCTGTTACTGTGTTTGGAGACTCCCACTGTGAAGAATGTTGTCCTTGTGTCTAACTGTGATTTCCCTTACTACAGTTGCTGTTAGTTGCCTCTAGTAGTACTCTAATCAGCCCTGACGGAGCATAAGCATGAATACGGGGACAGGATAGAGGTCTGCAAAGGAGCACTTGCTGATAAAGAGCTGGTCCCATGCCTGCCGCTGTAGCTGTGGTCCTGCGCACCTTCTTGTAGTCTTGTACTCACCTTTTAATGATTTAAAAGCATATTAGTGAAAGATGTCATAATAGTTAAAATTTTTTAAGATTTAATTTGAAATAGAAAGAACAAACAGAGAAGGAAGATCCAGGGACAGATGAGCATCAAATTCTTTAGTAAATTGGCTGACCTACACAAGGAAGGGTTACTTTTCTGTGCTGCTTTCTACAGACAGTGTCTGTGAACACAGATTGGCACCGTATTATTTAACATCTTGCTGACAGTGCATTTCAGCCTGTGAGCACTGGCATCTACTGGCAAATCTGAACCCCCTCCAGGGCAGCGGGTGCACTCATAACAAGGATGATGGAGGCCATTGGGAACGAGAGAGGATGCACTCGGTGCAGGGCCTGGAGCAGAGAGTGACAAGGCACTGTGCATCCAGGGTGTTTGGTTCAACTCTTTCGTTTGTCATCCTGCCTTCCGGACACACACGAACTCTGCCTTTTCCTATCCAGCAGCTGATATTTAGGCTCCTCCCATTTCACTGTCTTCGTTATCTCATTGCAGATGGGCAAATGTAAAGCTGTCATGCTTCCACTTCAGAACGGCCCTGTGGGGCTCATTCCCCCAACGCACCCATTTATTCACTTCACCCCCATCTTCTTCACCATCCGTGTCCCATTTGAAGGGATGCTGAAGCCAACAACTCCTCTTTAGTTCCCAAACCTTTCAAGATTTATGATATTTCAGGCTCTACAAAGGTCTTTACTCTTTATTTTCCGTACAAAATGTGCTTCAAAAGAACCGCTTCTCCAAAATTACCAGTGCCATGGAAAGATTGTGGATCTCCCCTATCCCCAAAGATAGTGGACCTCCCTGAGCAACTTACGTCTTGGACTTCATACATATGTAGTCAGGAGAACTTTGACAGCCTCTGAGGTAGAAGGCAGACTGGATGAATAATGGATTTGCTTCAATGTAAAATACTATACTATACTATACATTCTTCCATCTGAAATATGCCATTCTTAACAGGAAAAAAGCCCTTTCCAAGCTGCTGGGGACAAGATTTGGGCTGAGACCAAATGGAGTTTACTATATGAAGATATGGAAATAGTCTGTAAAGATCATCCAGCCATAGAAATGTACCCTGCAAGTTATCACCACTGACCTGATCTTCCTGCAGTAATAGTGAGTGCTCCGTAAAAAGTCACACCAGACAGTGCACAGGAAACACAGAGGCTAACATTTGTTTTCACAGCGCATCCATCAAACAAAGGTGTATAGCAGATTGCTAGAAAAAAATCAAGAATTAGTTTATGGAAAGAAAAAGGGGTAAAAAGTGGCAGCTTAGATGCCTGCTGTGAATTATTTTTTTCAAGTTGAATAGGTTGAAGCAGATGAAACACTGTACCTTCCTTGCATTGTACCTTGCAGTTCCTACTGCAATAGTAAGGAATTCTAGATAGTTCAACTGGTACTTGTGCCTATAAATTAGGACTTAGCTCTACTGAGCATAGTGAATTTATTCAGTTCACAAATATCTTTTGGCACATTAAGAAAAGGGTTTCATTTTTTACCAAAGGACTACTTCAATCTTTGAGCATATTTTTAAAAGGAAATACTAAATATTAAAAACTTATTATTATATTTTCATTTATTTTAAGGAAAGTCTCCAAATACTAAGACAAATACACATAGATACATACAAGGAATATGTGCATATGTAATACAAAACAGATGCTGACATACAGAACTTCAAAGAACTCATACAATGTAACTCCACCCAGAAAAGTGGAGGCATCATTTTCTTTCAAGAAGTATGACAAGTGCTTTAATAACACATGATGCATAGGGTGTACCTTGGGCTCCAGAGATCCCAAAGAGTGTGGATATAATACAAGAGCTCAAGTAAGATTTGTGGCAATGGATTCTGCATCAGTTTGAGTACTGGTTGTGTGTAGCTCTGAATGGAACATGTAATTACTATCCTCCCTGCTAACCACATAGCAATTAATGTTACGGTAGCACTGAAGTTATTGAAGTAATGTTTTAATCCAGCCATGACATTGGACTCTTATTTTTAACAAAAGTTGCTTCCAGGCACTCCCTGTAGTCTTCTAAAAAATGTCCTTTTTTTTTCCTATCAATATTAATGCATATGTGAAAAGAATTTTATGGATGAATAGAACCTTGTGTTGTTTTCATATTCCTATACCTCAAACAGGGGAACAGCTGGAAGAACAGATTTAGGAAATAAGGCATGCCAAGGCAAACTGACCTAGAAGAGGATTATGGGTGGAGAGTAGTTAGTGTGTACAGTAAGTAATTCAGTCAGGAAACCATCAAGGATGCAGTTGAACTGGTTTATGACTGGCAGGTGTTAGTGTAAAATGCTGACTAAAGCTCAAAAAATATAGAGATCTGCAAGAATATGTGACTGTCAACCTAAAGAGTCACACAAGAATCATTGCTTGACTGTAGCTAATTGTTTCAAGTTGCTTCCTATGCCTGTAGTTTTTAGCTTTGTAGTTTGGGTTTGGTTTTTTTTTTTCCTCTCATTTGTGAGCCTGGGAGGGAAAATGCAGGCAAAGAGGAAGATTTAGTCTCTAATGACCTGTCCATCTGAATCACCATTCTGAGAAAACTGCAGGATAAAGAAACAAAAATAAAAATTTATTTAAAAATTCCAGTGTTGTCTCACAGTGGCAGATCCCACATCCCTTCTTGCAATGCTTCTTCAGGTGAAATGAACAGCCACTTTCTCACAGATCCAGAATTGCTCTGTTGAACAGGAGTGGCTGGCGTAAATGATCTGTCCATATAAGGAGGCACAGAAGATGTTGTCATAAAACACGACCCTAGGAAATTAAAAGATATGGCTTAATGATGTCCCAGTGACATAATGTAATCTATATTCGGACCACGTGTAATCATACCAATTTGCCACTGGAATGTAGAGTTATTTCCCCCTTGGAGCTATTTTATTTATGCTAGGTCGTCCTTTTGAGTCTGGTGCACGTGATCGAACTGTACTTTGCCACCCATTGTTCCTTATATGGCACATGAATTCGGAGCTGCATAGCAGATACCATGATCTCCTTGCTCCTTCATCATTGCACATGACAGACATGGGAAAGCAGGATTAAGCACAAGTTTCATATAATTTACTGGACCCTATCAGATAGAACCACACTGGTCCTAAGTTACGAAGGCTTACCATTTTGTCACTTCTTTTGAAAAAGCTGTTCCATCCTCCCAGTACCAGCCGCTCCTTTCAGATATGTATGATAATCCAACCCAGTAGAGTCGTGAATCCTGTGGCAGAGAAACCTGTAGGAATGAGAAAATCATCACAACAGTATTTCAAAAATAAGACCCAAGTTCCTGTATCTTCCAGCTGAGAAGGTTCCGCAACCAAATGAGATAGCTCTTACTCAGGATAGTAACATGTTGTCCATGCTTGCTTTCCATGAGGCAGTGCTGACTGCTCTGATTCTAGGATCATTCAAATACCATTGTTTATTGAATTGCCACAAGATAAATGTACCCTGGATATGCAAAACCACTGCTTTTTTAAAGGAAAAAAAAAGAAAAGTTTTATCTGGAGTGCCTTTAGGTATCTACACTGCCTTTAGATATCTGCAGTTTAGATATAGATATGGGAGCACTGTTTAAGCCCCAATTAGAGTCAGTGGAGATCTGGCCAACAGATCCAATGGAGCCTGAGAAGTGATTCATCTCACCCAGTGGGAGTGCTACTGAGTAGTGACTGTATTGGCCAGATGTCCCACTGACTGTAACAGAGCCCGGGGAAGTAGCTCTGAAGTTGCTGACCGCTTACACTGTAGATGCCTGAAGTTAGGCAAGATGAATCCCAGCCTACAGGGCAGAGCCTGTTGCACCTTTTGAGACTCTCCAACCTGTCTGAGGTCTTAACATCTGGCTGACAGACAAGACCCAGAACCTATGGGAGAATTGTGCCTTGCTGAGGCATTGTTTGGAGGTCAAAGTGTATGCCATTGGGCATCTCAGATTGCCCTAGAAACCCATGTTTAGGTGAATCATTCCCTAGGTGCTACCTAAGAGGTTCCTCAGCATCTTAGCCAGTTCAGATCTTCCAGATACTCTACTGCTGCTTAGAAACATGTTTAGGGACTCATCCAAAATCTGAAATTCACATCTGGCTTAAACTTGTCTGGCCTCAGTCTGGCTGCAGCTGCATATACCAAACATGGAAGAAAAACCAAGCACCCAGACTTCTGAAATCCAACTATCCAGGGATTTATATGCCATACCAAAATTGTCTCTCGAATTCAGCATTGAAGCTGTGGTGTTCAGGTGTCTCCCAAAAGTGAACCACGATTCTGACCTCAGGATGCTGCTACACTCAATAATAAACCATTTATCCACTTTCTATTTTGACTCTACTCTTTAAAAAGGTTTATGCAGCAAAAAGGAAATAAGGATGTTTGGGCTTTGTGTAAGCTATTGAAAGAGACATTCCCACATATGTGTGTCTTAACAGCAAATTACAGACTTTTCACTATTCAGAAAAAAACTCCAAATTAATAAGACTACTTAAAATTATTAATCCCCTCAATTTTTTCCAGTCATCATCATATAATCCTCTGCTGTCTAGCATTTGTGCCATCAACACCACTCTGTGAAGGTATGACACAAGGTCAAAAACCAACCTTTTATAGCCACTTTGCACTGCAGCGTACAAACGACAGTACCATGGTGAATTGGCCACTCTCTAGATTTCACGTTGATTTGGGTTTGATGCTGGGAGCCCTCAGTAATAAAACTTGTGGAAAGACATAATGGAAACACCCATTCTGTGTGCTGGGTCTCTTCTCCATGCGTATAATATGCAATTTATTTTCTCTGTGAAAACCTAAGCATTAGCTAATTAAGGTATTTTATACAATGACTTAGTATATTTCTCACAATACAGAATTTCACTATTTCTCACAGCACACAATTTAGAAAGTGTTGCAAGTTGGGACAATCTTGTGACATGCAGGAAGGTTACTTGACCCAGAGAAAATTAACTACATGCACTGTAAGCGACCAAACTATTTCCCGCCTGCAACACTGCTGGAAGTAAAAACACATAACATAAAGGAATGCGTGAGGTTAAGACTGTACCATCTTTGCTTTGTCTTTTAGCACAGCAAGAGTGGAATTTCTTGAGGAACAGAACTTCTGGCTTTGCTTCCATGTTTTCTTCTCCTTTGAAATGTAGAAGCAGTTGTCAGCTCCACTGTTTAGCCAACTTGCTGGACAGACAGCACATTTTGTTCCTAGAAATCAGAAAGAGTATTACGCAGACCTGCGAGGAACGCAGGGGCTTTAGCTACTGGCTTGACTGAGGAAAGATTAAGGGTAGCCGTGAATCAGCTGAGCTCTTGAGGGGCAAGACAGGTTGTTTTGCATGTTAGTGTACACATATCCGCAGCTCAAATACTGCCACAGTTTAAAACAGACACTAACTGACCAGATCTTTTCCCTGTGATTTTATAGTCTCTTAGTCAATGAGCTCTGAAAAGGGGGTGATTTCTGTTTATTTACATAACAACCACATTTACCGTTTTTCTCCTTCCCATCCAAACACAATGCTTCCCTCATTTCCTGTAGCTTCTTTCCTTCCTCAGGATTCTTGGAAACCTGAAAAACTGAATGGCACGAAAGTGCTTCTGAAAGACTGTTTTTAAAAGTTTTTAGCTTTAAATGTAGCTTTGATTTGTAGCTTTTGGCATTCTTTTAATTTTTGTCTACTTCATTTGTATGTCCACCATTGTGTGTACATCATCTGCATTTCCTTCACCAGGACAGTTGTGCAGCACTGGAAGAGTTCACCTGGGAAGGTGGGGACATCTCCGCCCTTGAAGATTTTCAAAAGTCATCTGGACAAAACTACAGGTTATTTGGGGTTGGTGGTAGTCCAGCTTTGAATGGTGGGGAGGAAGGGGTGCGTGTCAGACTAGAAACGTGAAGAAATGCCTCTGAGCTAACATTTCTGTGATGCCATGGACCACCCTGGGTGTTCATCCTGGGCACTTGCAACTGCTTCCCTCCTTCCAAGAAGCAGCCGGGTACCCTCTGTCTCTGCTTCCAAATGTAATGTGTCATCATCTTTTGACGTTAATTGAAATTTTTCTGTGGAAAATCTGCTGTAATCGTTGGGCAAATGCACCAGTCACAATGCTTTGATGCCAGGACTGCCCTCCCTGCAAAAAGCTTGCAGTCCAGGAAAAAGAGGGAATTGTAACCGGGAAATATTCCTGTAACAGTCACAGGGGGGCACCATTACCCACATAGTGTGGCTGACGAGATGAGTTTCTACCTGTGAAAACTAAGCATTTCAGAAATAGGTTAGGATTAGGGCTAGGGTTTAGAGTTAACGTTAAGGTTAGTCAGCGGTTAGGGTTAGGGTTAGGTTTTAGGGTAAGGGTTGGGCTTAGGCTTAGGGATGTAAATTAGGGTTGCTGTTAGGGTTAAGGTTGGGGTTAGGGTTAGGATTAGGGTTAGGGTTAGGATTAGGGTTAGGGTCATTGTGATCAAGGTTAGGGTTAGGCATTAGGTGTTAGGGTTATGGTTATGGTTTAGGATTAGGGTTGGGGTTAGGTTTAGGGGTTAGGGTTATGGTTTAGGATTAGGGTTGGGGTTAGGTTTAGGGGTTAGGTTTATGCTTATGGATAGGGATTGGGATAGGGTTAGGGATTAGCTTTAGTTTTAGGGTCAGGGTCATTATGGTTAGGGGTTAGGTTTAGGGTTAGAGCTAGGGTTGGTTAGGTTTAGGTCTTACATTAAGATTAGTGTAACCCTTAGAGTTAAGGTAACTATAAATCATACTGGTGATCCTGAGTGACCTGTGCTGACACTCGGTTGTGGGGGGACTTCTGTAGGAGAGCTGTACTGTTGCGCTCCTTGCTGTATTATTTCCAGTGGGGGAACATGGACACCAGGGACAATTTCCTAGTATGAGAAGTAGTTGTACAGCTGGAATTCACTCGCACAGCTGTAGGTCCGGACACTACAGTACTTACACAGGGCCAGCAGGGCTACCAGGCCCGTCAGCAGCACCAGGCACAACACGAGGAAAGCGAAGGCCACTGGCTGCCATACGGAGGATGAGGGAGAGGCTCCTGAGACAAACAAAAAACCCATTCAGCAACAAAAAAAAACCATCTTTCCTCACCACGCAGTGATATTACCTCTTCTCTGACAACACCAGTTCACCTTTATATCTTTTGCAGAGACTCTTTTTTTATTAGTGTAGTATTTGTTATGTCTGTTCTGAATTTCCTCAAGTCATTTTGAGAAAATATCTATTTATCCACTGAGAATATGTATTAACTGAGGTGCTAGTGTTTTAAAATAAAACTTCTTCTCATGAGACAGGTAAACAGATTAGATTTTGCTGTTCCCACAGTCCTGGAAATAATAAAACAATCTCTAAGACTTCTCTACCTTGAAACGGAAAAATTACCGTCTAGTTTTGGATAATTGCTTCTAGAACCCGTGACTGGGATTTCTAAATGATTGCAATGTTTGAACGTCAGACTGTGCATCTTTCTTCAGGCTCTTTCACTGAATTTCCATGACAGTTTAATGTCTAATCAGGAATATAGTTCTCCAGAATTTTACAGCTGACTATCCCCCGAATTAAGTCTTTTCATATATATTATATATATATATATGCATTTTTCCCTTGTGGGAAGCAGTGCTCTGCAATTTTCGGCAATATTCTTTCATATCTATTTTAGAGTATTCAGGTTAATTGAAAAGTATTACACACATCAAGTATTTTACTGAAGTCCAGTACATAAGAGCAAGCACATCCAGGGAGCTAACCTTTTGTTGGATGAGAACAAACACCCTCCAGAGGTGCCTAGAAGTCCAGATAGACTTGGCAAGTAAAACTTACATAGCCAAAATTAAGGGAGATGACCCTAACCCTCACCAGTTAAAGTAATTTGAATAGACTGCAGATGACACCACTTTTGGGTGGTGACTGATATGCCAGAGGGTAAGACTTCCTTTTAAGGGGACCTAAAAATCCTAGGAATGAGCTGTAAGTGCAACAGCTGAACAAAGGCAAGTGTGAAGTTTGGCACCTGTAACAGTACGACCACATGCACCCGCATAGGTGGGGGACTGACTGATTAGAAAGCAGCTATGCTTCAGGGTCCTGGTGGACGAGTTGAACATGACTCCTCAAGTGTGTCCTTGTGGCAGTGAAAGCTGACCATCACTGGGCTGCGTTGGCCAGACTGCTGAGAAGTGGTTATTCCACTCTACTTGACAGTTGTGAAGCCACATCTGGGGTTCCGTGTCCAGTGTTGAGCTTCCCAGTTCACCAGAGATGTCATCTAACTGCAGAGAGTCTAGCAGAGGAACAGTGAGTTTGTCAGGGACCTATAGAGAGGCTGAAGGACCTAGGCTTGTTTAGTCTGGAGAAGAGGAGGATAAGGGAGGACCTAATTTCAGTCCTCCACTCCCTAAAAGGGCTTTATGGATGGAGCCAGACTCTTCTCAGAGAGGCACAGCAAAAGGACACAATACAACAGTCACAAGTTGCATCAGGGAAACTTCCATTTAGATGCGAGGGAAAAAAATTCTTCACTTTCAGCACTGGAACAAGTGCCCAGAGAGGCTGTTAGATCTCCATCCCTGGACATTCCCAGAACTGAAGTGGACAAGGCCTTGAGCAACTTGATCAAACTTTAGAGCCAGCCCTTTTGAGCAAAAGATTGGAAAAGATGAACTGTAGAGGTCCCTCCCTACCAGATGTGGTCATAAGTCTATCTACTTTAGCTGTTCTCTGTGCATATCAAAAGGACATTTCGAAAGTTTTCTGAGCTTGCCAACCTGTTTCTTTCCAGGAAGCTCTGCCCCTAGATCACACTCACTCATATTTTATCCTTGGTTTTCTGGCTACTGCTTCTCAACAGCTTCTCCTCCATCCTTCTTGTCAAGCAGTCATTCTCCATAGGTAGCCCTAGATCTTTTCCAGACAGCACCAGAGTGATGTTAATTTAGTCTTTGTCTACTCTGCCCAACCTGAACATAGCAGCAATGATATTTATTTCACACAAAAGCCACCTGGTGAATTTCTTAGCCTCAGCAACAGTGCTCAAGTCATCATTTTATAGTGTCAGGCATTCCATGGGCACAATCCACTACCTTAGTTAACACTCAGCTTGTTTATAGAAAAACTTTGAGTATAACCAAATAAAAACACATACTCCTATCAGAACTTACATTCACTGTTATGACAGATAAACAGGGCACCTTTCTACTCCCCATAGCTGAGGAAACTGCTTCCATTTCCAAGGCCTTCGTTATCTGATATAATGCCTTCATCTCTTGTAGTGCCCTGTAATAAATGAGTCCTACCAAAATAAAAAAAATATCTATAGAAAGGTGGAATTTGTCTTCTCTGTTGAAGTAAATGGAAAAAATAATTGGAGTAAAGATAAGCTTCGGAAAAAATATCATCTGTGATCATAAACTGTAGTACACAGGACTCCATTATGATTATTCTCTCTGTTGTTTCTATGAACATTTATCTAAGAATATACTGTAAAGTTTAGAAGGATTATAAAGCAATCAACATGACGATGCAAATTCAAGTTATGCCCTGATTTAGATAAAAAAGCTAATTTCCATCTGTACTTACTGTCCACTCTGACACAACTGGCTGGAGCCTTAAATGTAGAACATTTGTTGCTGCTTGAATACCCAGAAGTAATAACTGAAGCTGTGGGTCGTAAATTTAAAGCGGTGTAGCCTTCCTCATCCTCCATCTCCAGCTTGTCACACTTCTTTCCTGCAGTAGGAGTACTTTGGGAGTAGGGGCACGCTACAGTGAGACCAATGCTGGGGCGATGGGAACGGTTCACATTTCATCATTTCCAGTGAAACCACGGAGGAAGCTGGCTCTGTTCTGATTACTGTGTCATAGTAAAACTGTAACATATTGAAAGCAAGTTAAGGAGTTAAAGTGGCACTGCCAAGGACGGGTGTTTTCTTCCTGAATGTGAAGACTGGGAGTGTGGGTTCCTGGTTAGAACCTAAGACTGTTTCATTTAACTGTCCACCTGATCAAACCCTGTAAAAACAGCAAACATCAGGATTGTCTACCTCCTTAAAATAAGATGCTCTAGAAATAGTTGCTATTTTGAGTTAAGGTATGAAAGATATCTGTTCATGTATCAGGGCACAAATACAACGTAACAGCTGCACAGAAAGCAATAGGCTGCATTTCCATACACTGTTATGAAATAAATGAAAAATGAAATTATTTTACAAAAATTCACTGAAATAAATGCTAGAAGGGGAAAAGCTGAGCTGAAAGGATGGTAAGGCCAGGAGCTTGGCAGGATTCAAGCCAAGCAACCGCTTAGCCTGTGTCTGACAAAGACCAGACTACACTGAGGACATCTGTGCTGTGGCACTGTATGCAGACATCACTGTGCAGAAGTGACTTAACCATCCTCACTCCCCATCTCTCGCTCTCTGCAGTGCCTTGCTCCAGTGCTGAGCTGTAGTTCTCAAATATCTTCAGTAACCAACTCTGCTTAAAAGAGCACTTGCCCAGGCATGCTGAGTTACATCATGGTGACAGGGTGAGTCAGAGGGAAATTGTGTGAGAGAGGAATTTCTGTGGTAGCTCTTCCTGCTCTTGTGTGTAAAGTTCAGCGTGTCCCATTTGCAAAATATCAACAGACTGGAAATACGCTGTAATGACTGGTCTATTCTTCCTGCCTTGCTGTGCAGATAATAGATGTTTTCAGAGCAGAAATACCTCTGGCTGCATGTATTTCTTGCATTATATCTTACCTGTATGCAAAGAGAAGGCCTGATGGAAAAGTTGGGAGTAATGGGTGCTTACAGTCAGTTTTGTTACACAGAGAGGCACACAAGGAGTAGCAGGCACTGTGTATTCATGGTGTATCCGTAGTATCCTCATAAAAACCTCATGCTAAATATGGTCCAAAAATACTTATCTATTGGGCCTGAAAACTGTATGTTGGCACCTCAATGTGAAAAGGGCTTTTCTGCAGATAACTGGGAATCAAGTGTGTCTGTGATACTGAATTTCATTGCAAGTTTTCATGACAGTTTTTTCTTCGGTCTTAGCAGCAGCTTCTCAAGCATGTAATGAATCATAGAATCATAGAATGGGTTAGGTTGGAAAGGACCTAAAACAGCACCGAGTCCCACCCCCCCTGCCATGGGCAGGGACACCTCTGACTAGACCAGGTTGCCCAAGGCCACGTCCAGCCTGGCCTTGAACACCTCCAGGGATGGGGCCTCAAATCGCCTTTGGGGAAATCTTTCTCCAACCTGATTTTACTTCTGCAGAAGAAACAGGAGGTAAAATAACTTTCTTGTATTATTTTGGTAGCTCTGAATTCAATAAGCAGTCTGTTAACTATATCACTTTTTTATTCTAGTCACCTTTTAAAACAGATCCTGCTGCAAGAACAGAAATAACAAAAGCGGTAAGGTGGGGCTTCATCATTACGCTCTCTATACTTGCAAAGATCCAGAGCAGGCAAAATTTCTCATTTCTTCAGACTAAAATGAAAAGAAAGGTAAACTAAGGCAGGAAGTTTGGGTCTACGTTTGAACACAGCCCGTGTACAAATGTTTGTCAGCAGGCTGGACAAAACGGTGTTTATTAACCAGAATGTGACCTTTCAACTTGCATTAGCTAGCATCTATCACTGGGGGGGACGCAGGGAGGAGTGGAATTTAGACATGGGAAACACACTGTTGTACAGAACTGTGATTCAAAAATGCCTATACACAAACAGTACATTTTTATGTCTCTTCCCCTGTAAGGAATAGCTCCTTTCAATGGAAAAAGGGAATACAGTCAGCACAGGCTTAGGCCCTATCTGGTCACACCACCAACTTTGCCAGTTTCAGCCTTGCTGGATGTGGTTGTTCTCTGCAGCACTTTGAACACTTGCAGTGAATGGTAGGACACTGCCTCCTGTCTCTCTTCTCTGTGGTTGATTTTTTTCTTTCTTTCTTTCTTTTTTTTTTGGTGTTTCAGTCATTGTTTTTTGAGGAGAAGAAGCTAGTTCTGGCGCACTGTGAAACCGTATTCTAACCCCACCTTCATTTACAATTACAAGTACAGCCACTGCAGCAGAGACTGCTTTTGGGCTGGTAGTAAATTGGCCCAAAAGATCATGGCCACAGCAAGATGTGATGCAGCCTTGTAGCTGCCTGTCAGCATGGCGAGCGGTCAGTCTCAGCTCATGTTTGTTTCCAACAAACTGCAGAAACACCTAGGATTCACACATCTGCTCTTAGGCATGCATCATTAATGAAAAAACATCCCGGAAATATCTTTTCTGATTCCTCACATTCACTCTAATGTAAGAGAAAACAAGATCAGATTCTTTTTTCTTTCTTTTTTAATATTTCTGGCAAATTACAGCAAAGTCCTTCATTATCAAGAACGGATGAACCATGAATACAGGTCAGCATGCCTTCCAGATGAGATTTCATATTGCAGTGTAGCTAGGGAAAATATGGACCCACTGTGGTGACAGATGATGCAGAGAAGGCGGAGCTGCTGAATGTCTCCTGTGCTTCTGTCTTCACTGCTAGGGCCAGCTCTCAGGAGTCTCAAACTTTGCAGGTAACAGAAAAAGTCTGGAGGAAGCAAGACTTTCCCTTGGTTGAAGAGGAACAAGTTAGAGATCAGTTAGATAAACTGGATATCTACAAGTCCATGGGGCCTGATGGGATGCACCCTCGTGTGCTGAGGGAGCTGGGGGAAGTCATTGCTGGGCCGCCCTCCATCATCTTTGAAAGGTCCTGGAGAACAGGTGAGGTGCCTGAGGACTGGAGGAAAGCCAATGTCGCTCCAGTCCTCAAAAAGGGCAAGAAGTGTGACCCAGGAAACTACAGGCCCGTCAGCCTCACCTCCATCCCTGGAAAGATGATGGAACAGCTTGTGCTGGGTGTCATCTCCAAGCACCTGGAAGAAAAGAAGGTTATCAGAAGTAGCCAACATGGATTCACCATGAGGAAGTCACGTCTGACTAATCTGATAACCTTCTATGATGAAGTCACTGGATGAGTGGGTGAGGGGAGGGCAGTGAATGTTGTCTACTTTGACTTCAGCAGGGCTTTCGAAACTGTCTCCCACATCATCCTCACAGGCAAGCTTAGGAAGTGTGGGTTAGTTTTCTAGTTGGAGGTCAGTAACAAGTGGTGTCCCTCAGGGGTCAGTGCTGGGTCCAGTCCTGTTCAACACATTCATCAATGACCTGGATGAAGGGACAGACTGTACCATCAGCAAGTTTGCTGATGACACAAAACAGGGAGGGGTGGCCAACATGCCAGAAGGCTGTGCCCCCATACAGCGTGACCTGGACAGGCTGGAGAATTGGGCAGAGAGGAACCTTATGAAATGCAACAAGGGCAAGTGTAGGCTGCTGCATCTGGGGAGGAATAACCCCATGCATCAGTACAGGTAAGGAGCTGACCTGCTGGAGAGCAGCTCTGTGGAAAGGGACCTGGAAGTCCTGGTGGCCAACAGGATGACCATGAGCCAGCAATATGTCCTGGTGGCCAAGGTGACCAATGGCATCCTGGGGTGCATGAAGAAGAGTGTGGCCAGCAGGTCAAGGGAGGTATTCCTCCCTGTCTAATCTGCACTGTTGAGGCCACCTCTGGTGTACTGTGTCCAGCTCTGGGCTCCCCAGTTCAAGAAGGACAGGGAACTGCTGGAAAGGATCCAGCAAAGGGCTATGAAGATGATTAGGGGAATGGAGCATCTTTCTTATGAGGAAAGGCTGAGGGACTTGGGTCTTTTTAGTCTAGAGAAAAGAAGACTGAGGGGGGATCTTATCAATTCTTATAAATACTTAAAAGGAAGGTGCCAGGTAGATGGGAACAGTCTTTTTTCAGCTGGGCCCAGTGATAGGATGAGGGGTAACGGGCGCAAACTTGAACACAGGAAGTTCCATATAAACATGAGGAGGAACTTCTTTACTTTGAGGGTGGCAGAGCACAGGCCCAGACTGCCCAGAGAGGTTGTGGCGTCTCCCACACTGGAGACATTCAAAACCCGCCTGGACACCATCCTATGCAACCTGCTGTAGGTGACCCTGCTCGGGCCAGGGGGGTTGGCCTGGATGATCTCCAGAGGTCCCTTCCAAACCTACCATTCTGTGATTCTGTGGTATGAACGCTGAGAGACACTCTGGAAAGTCAGCAGGGCTGTGTCTGCACTGCAGGACAGAAGCACTTTGAATTTTCACCCCCAATGGAAGGAACAGCTAGGAGACGAACTGAGAGGAGCAGCTGGGAGAGGTTGTGTTAGAGAGGGGTGAATATAAACAGCAGAGAGGAAGAGAAATCCACTAAGATTTCTGGAGTGTGAAATTGGTATTTGAAAATAACACCTGAAATGTTCATGTTGGTGATCAGAAACTGCTGTGTAGTGCTGAGATTAGTGAGACACTAGAACAGCCTCTTGAAGGGAATGACTAATGCTTTAGCAGCCCAGCTGCTATGCCGGTGGTAAATGAACCAAAATAAATAATCTGGGATGCAATCCACAAGGAATACACAAGTCTCTAGAGCGGACCAAGCTAGGAATTTGTGGACTTTTTGCTCAAATCAAAACACTGTTATGGGACTGTGATTTCTTATTTCAACCTGACTGTCCTTGTTCTACAGAGATGTGAGGCAGATATTTTGTTCATTAACACTGCTTGGGGTATTTTCGTTATGGTTGGGTTTGTAGACCCTTGCTCAGTGCATTAAGTTAGTAGTATGGTGTTCCAGGAAATATCCTACAAATACATAAAAGGAGGTTCTGTTCATGCCTCTGGCAGAACCCTACCATAACTCTTGCAATAGATCAAAAAATTATAAAATTAGGAAAGCAGAAAAGTAGAAAAGAAGAGCAGAATTATTACAGGGCCGGGGGGTGGTGGTGGTGTGTGTTGGGTGGTGGTGATGGAGAATTAAAAAGAAAAGAAAAAGAAAAAGGTGAATCAACAGTGCCAGGAAGAAGTATAGAGCATGGAAGAGAGGTAGACATTTATAGCTGAAAGGGTATCTTCTCCTGTGACACATGCACAAGTCCTTACAAGAACTATGAATTCCTGTGCTCCAGAGAAAATATGATTGTTAATACAGTTCAGAAACACTTTGTCTCACCTTCTGAGGATAACTGTGTTGTGTATGGTAAGCTCCAGCCTACTAGTATATTAAAGCAGTCAGATCAACACGACATCAGAAGGGTCTCCTGAAGGAATGTTTAATTCTCATCAGTTGTGTTATGTTACAGCTGTACAGTCATGAACTGACAAGTGGTATTAGGACTGTATCAATGGATGCTGGGAGAGAAGCAGTATCTTTACAGGCTTGCCTTGTCACTCCGCTTTTTTTTTCCTGGACGTGTCTTCCAGCCATTTTGTCCATCATTTGTGTTGGTTAAAATGGAGTAATCATTTGGCAGTTTTGGATCTGCAACAACAGACTTGGGTTGCTCCTGGAGCCTGTGACCATGCTCATTTCCTTAGTATGAAGATAATTTTATGTATGTCTAAAAGAGAAAGAAAACAGGAAAATAGTACAGGTCTGATCCAAAATATTTTTCTTATGTGATAGTTCTGAAAAAAATAAAATAAAATCCAACCTTGCAGAACGTCTTCTAGCTTCTCATAATCATTTTGGGCTGACAAACCAGTCCTCCTGCCAATGGTTGTTTCCTCGCTGTAATTGGGTGGCGGGCTTTTCACATATATAGTAATTCGGTTCTTCACATCTTGTGCTATATATGGCAGTATAATAAAAATATCCACATTTTCTGTGAGGGTTTATATCTACTGTCCTAAGAAAGAAAAATATTTATTATTGCACCTCACTTAATTCAAATGGTGCATCCTTGCCCCTTCCAAAAAGAGCCATCTTTGCAACAGCTATGTGGCTTTCATGAAGAATATATACACCCAACAAAGAAATAAAGTGTTTAGTGACATCGTGCACCAACTCCTAGGAGGCTGACCCTGTCCTGAACATGCCAACAAGCACTCCCACCAGACTCTAAGGGTGGATCCTAAACCATTTCTTATACCTGACAGTAAGAAACACTAACTCTTGAGTACTGACTGAAGGGTGTCAGTTGCTGTTTCAACAGAAATATAGAGGATACTGCTGAATAATGAAAAGGAAAATTGGCAAAACAGGTTTGAAAGCAAGAAGAAAAATATATTGTATTTCTGAAATAACATACTAAACCTGAGTGAAATGATTCTAGAGAATAAAGTGTCTTATATAAAAATTAAAAAAAGTATAAACTCAAAAGCATGAAATGAAACAGCTTTCCATTGGACTTTTTTCTTGTGTCCTCACTGAAACAAGATGTCCAATACAAGGGAAACATATGACATTTATGGTCAATCTGAAACTATGGTGTGGAAATAAACTTTCTGGGTTTTGCCCAGTAATAGTGCATAGATCACCCTCCAAGCAGTTCTGGGTAAGGCCAAGAAAAATCTGAAATGAAAAAGTGAGACCCAAAATCCAGAGAAAGCTGCATAAAAGGTAGCTGTTTGATGTGCCCTTTGTGTCAAAGAAGCTGGGAGTTGCGTGTGGGCGAGGACCAACATTATGTACGGTGGGAAAGCTGCTCACTTACCAAGACTTTTGTTCTTTCGTAAGAGCTGTGTTGTCCGCCCAATACCAGTCTCTCTGTTCAGTTCTATATGTTAATCCAAGCCAGTATACTCTTCTATTAAATGTTTTTACCAATTCCTGTGTAGAGTAAGCCCAATTCAAAACAGATACTCAGGAAGATATTAAAAATAAATATTTAGGCTCAGAAGTTGAAAGCATTGATGGAAATTGCTTAAAGAACATAAGTAACACAAATTGTTAACCTGTCAAGACAAGTTCTGCACTTAAAGGAAAAACCTAGCATCAAAAGAGAAAGTACAGTAAAGCTGTTTTTAATCGGAGAGAAAATAAATACACTTCTCATTCTGAAGGGCAATGTCAGCCTCATCAACCTGATTTAAACCCCCTGCGTGAAACACTGAATAGTTTTCCCTGCTTTAGTCATGAATCATTCCTCTCCCTTTACTCTGTTCTTAGCATTTGTCAACGGCAAAAGGGAAGCCTCTGCAGGAAGCTGTTGAGTTTGATTTGCTGAACTTTCCTACTCAGCTCTAGCATCGTTAACTTATTCCCAAAAGCTGCACCATGACAAGTAGAGGAGGTCTTAAAGTTAAGCATTTAGTGATACGCTGTCCTTAAAAAATGCTCTGAGCAGAACAGGTAAGAATATAAACTTTAATAATGGCCTTTCTCACTGCTGTTTGAGGGAATCTCTAAAGATTTGAATTAAATTTTTCTGCTCTCTTCCTTCCTTCACTTATCATTGCCACTCCCAGTGCACTTCTGCATTTTCTCTTTTTCCTCATACCTCTCAATGCTGTGATTAAGGCAGCTAGAATAGACTGCACCTCACAATCTTTGCTGTCATCAATTTGGGAGGGTGAGAATAAAGCTGTCCCCCTTTACTTGTGGGAGAAACCTTATGGCCTGCAGCTCAGGGAGAGGGGAACTGGCATTTCACAGAATCACAGAATGGTCAGGGTTGGAAGGGACCTCTGGAGATCATCCAGTCCAACCCCCCTGCCCGAGCAGGGTCACCTACAGCAGGTTGCACAGGATGGCGTCCAGGTGGGTTTTGAATGTCTCCAGTGTGGGAGACTCCACAATCTCTCTGGGCAGCCTGTTCCAGTGCTCTGCCACCCTCAAAGTAAAGAAGTTCCTCCTCATGTTAAGATGGAACTTCCTATGTTCATGTTGGTGCCCGTTACCTCTTGTCCTATCACTGGGCACCACTGAAAAAAGACCTTAAGTATTTATAAGCATTGATGAGATTCCACCTCAGTCTTCTTTTCTCCAGACTAAAAAGACCCAAGTTCCTCAGCCTTTCCTCGTAAGAAAGATGCTCCAATCCCCTAGTCATCTTTGTAGCCCTAAGCAACTAAGCGTTTTGTCGAGCGCTGGAGAGCAGGCAGGCTTAGCCACGACTGCTAGCTCTGGGGACATCTTTCCTGCCTTCAGTCTTCCAATTTGTCAGCTGGCATCTAGAGGCAAAAACATTATTTCACTCTACAGCTGACATTTTCTTTTCCCACCTCAGTTTGTTTTCATTTACTAGAAGATTAGACCAGATTTCAGCAACTTCCTGCCAAGTGTTTTAATTTTGATTGAAAAGATGAGATCCACTTTTGCATAAAGAAGTTCTATAAAATGGGGAGGACTATGATTTGCCTATGAGGAGGCCAGGTTAAAATAGATTTTTGCACTAATATCTTACCAAATCCTTGTATGGATCTGTAATACTTGTTAAATTAGTGAAATCATTACCCACAACTAAACAGCCATGAACCCGCTTTGACCAGTCATCCCAGTAAGTAGCCAGCCACGGCAAGCTAAGGCAAGATGAGCTGTCTCTGACCACCAGCTGCTTAAAGGGCCGCGCTTTGTGTGGCAACGACCAGCCCTATGCCTTAGCACTGCCCAGGACACCCAAATCACTGTAGAAAAACTCCTGCTCACAGTGCCATTTAAGAAAAATACGCATGGGGTGAGTATCTGGTCAGGTGCATGAACTTCTGCCATGAGTGAGAAACAGAGTGAGAAACCAGTCCATACCAGCTTTGCTTTCTGTTTTATCAGAAGAAGAGTGGAGTTTTGTGAGGAACAAAACTGGTGACTCTGTTCCATAGACTTCTTTTCCTCAGAATGGTAGTAACATGTATCACCACCTTCCCACTTCCAGTTTGCAGGGCAGAGTACACAGTTCTGGCCTGGAAAAGGAAAACCATCACCTTGTTTCTGTTCCCAGACTGTCCCTCACAGAACATCGCTGTTGGCCTGTGATGACAGAATCTGTAGGGACTGAGAGTGTTTGAGGTGGCCCTCATTCAGTCAAAATCACAGAAGGTTTAGATAATGACAGAGACAAAAACGGAATCATCCCCCTACCTCTCCCATTCCTTTAGCACTGGGAAGAAGTTCAGGTGTTGCAAATGGGATTTATTTAGCCCAATTTTAGGAGTCTTCCAAGATGACATGAGTCAACCTATCTGAATTTGCATTTAGTCAATGAACAGAAGTAAGCATGTCTCCTCCATGCTTTTCTGTCAATTCAGGTGTCTTTCTTGTATCCTTGCACTACCAATTTCTCTTCATTGACTAAAAGGGAGACCTAGACAGTTAGCCTCTCTGTGGAACAATATCCGGATAAATGACAGTCACAGTAGGATCCCTTTTGCCCAATGCCCCTACTCCTTAGAGTATAATTTCTGAAGAGAACTATTGCTCTGGCTGGCTCATTGTCAGATGCCAGTTAAATAACCGAGATGTGGCAAACTGATTTCAGAAACAGCCCTGCACTGTACACCGTCAGGAGACAAGGAGTGAACTCCCAGACAGGTTTAGCTATGTTTCATCACACATCACTTCTGACTTCAGGAGTTCCCTATCTTACCTGGGGTCGTACTAGCACTCTGTCCTGTGTGTGGACTGCTGTTAACAGAATGCAGTGAGTGGTTTAAGTCTCAGGCACCATTGTGAAATTGTCTATTAGATGCAGATGAGCACGTTGTAGAGATCCCTGAACTTGCACTGATGGGACCTGGCATGTCCAGAAGGCACCCCACAGAACCCTTTTCTTATGGAAACTAAATCCTGAAACCCTGGTATCACTGCCAGGTCGCACACCAGTGCACGTACGGCCAGGCTGGGTGCATCTCTCCAGGCACAGCATGAGGCAGACATGCTCATTGCCTACTTTCTAGGTGGTCACGTCTGAGAAGACACAAGCTCACCTGAGGAGACAGACCTGAGTAGACATAGAAGACACATCATTTACCATTATTTTTAAAGTTTTTTTGCCCTTCCAAGCACAGCTGATTTCCTATTGCTTGCAGCATATTTGAGAAATTTGTGCGCAGCTCATTCTTTGTTATGTTGAGGTCTCTAAGTTGTGTCCCGTAGTCCTTGGAAATCTGGAAAACTGAAATCGACAATGAAACATTTTCCAGTGCCGTTCTTCAGAAAGGGTGGAACACAGATAGGGAATGTCTTAGAAGATCATTAAGGATAAATAAACCATTTGGGATAAATGTTATTCCTCCCTGAACAGTCGCATGTAAGGGCTGCTGAGAACATTTGCATAGTGGATTTCTTATTATTTGGCTATGAGTGAGCAACAAAATTAAAGTGTGACTTTTTATCATATATTTCCATTGTGTATCTTTCTCCTATGTTGGTTTCCAGGCTGTGCTTTTTTCCTGAAAATGTGAACTTCGGTTCTGTATTGCAGTGGAACTGTTGCGGATTGGAGGTAATGGGCACAACCTGTTCACTGTGACACAAAGCTTTTCCTTTTCCTTTAGGTCCAGCTTTATCAAAGAGGAATTCACTCCATCCTTAGGCAGTACAGAAGAAATGTGGATACAGTTTTTAGGAGACCAGACAATGGCAGCCAGAGCAAGCAGTGAATCTGCTTCTCCGCCCCTTTCCAGCTCCCCTCCACTTTGCTCATTTCTAGCCTCATCACATCGAGAAGAGGACAAAGAGGCAAGGGAAAATATCTTGTTTGCCTGGTTGCCTGTTCTCAGCTGAACCAGAAATTGCACCTGAAGGACATGTCAGTCTGATATTATTCAGTAGCGTGAGCACCCCAGCAAACAGAAATGCATTAGTACTTACATAAAACTGCGAGGGTCACCAGCGCCATCAGCAATGCCAGGCACAGGATGAACAAAACCAGGATTACTGGCCAGCAAGAACGAGACGAAGTGGGAGGCCCTGGAAGGAATTCAGTCATGAAATACTAAGGGAATGGTAAACACATTAGCCTCATTATATTGCAGCCATCTTTGTCAATAAATAATTGCTTTTACTTTAGAATTGTATATTAGTGCTGTAGACTCGTTGCACACAGCGAAAGATGCCCAAAGAGAATAAGAGAGTGAGAGATCACAACAGCTCAGTGGAGAACGTGGACAGCTTTGGTCCTTTCAAAGGTCATAGACTGTGGCAAGAAATATATTAAGAAAGCAAGATATTGAAAAATCTAGAAAGTTGGTTGCTCAAAGCTGAAAATGAATATGCACTGTATGGTTCTGGTAATTTGTGATGTGCGGCATCTATCTGTGGTAATGTGGTTAACTTGAGTGCTACAGTAAACTCCTCTTGTACTTTATGGTAGTTTGAGATTTCTAGCTAGCAATTTGTCAAGAAATTTTTGGTAATAAGGGTTAAGCCTAGATACAGAAATGAGCGCTCAATGAGAAGAAAAAGGAACAATCTTTTTCTGAGCAAATGAAATTTTAAGCATGTTGGTCATCCAAAAGAGACCCTATTTGTAGGAGCTGGAAGATTTCATGGGTTAAGATGCACTGAAGGAGGAAGAAAAAGCATTCAGTTTGTCAGGGAAGCACTAAATCTAAGGCAGATATTAAAGTTGCCACTATATGGGCTTTGTGGAGAGCTGCAACCAGCTTGACTTAATCCAATAAAGGCAGTGTGAATGGGGAGAGGAAATTGCTAGTCTAGAAAAGGGAAAGGGGTATTCAAAACTGGGGAGTGAATTGCTGAAGGAGTAGGAACTGAAATTTAGTGTGCCAGGCTGAAGGAACAGGAATGGAAACTATTCAGTGTGCCTCTCCTACAAATAACCTGTGGTCAGGTTCTGTGGTGAACTAATCCTGGGCAGAATGTTGTACAAGACCTCACTCTATAGAAATATGAGTTGATGAATATTCAGGTTAAAGAAGATTGAGCAATGGAAGTTGTCTTGAACTGGTACACAGATCACTGCTGGCTTATATTCAACCTCCCATTCACCATAAACGCCAGGTCCTTTCCAGCTTCCGCAGCCAGCCTGCCCCCAGTCTGTACCACTGCCTGGTATTCGTCCAGCCTCAGTGTACAACAATTTGTGGAGCTTCATGGCATTTCTGCTCACCCAGTCCTCAAGTTTCTCAAGGTTCCTTGGTTTTGAAGCTGTACCACTTGGTAGCATCAGCCACCACCCCTAGTTTATTATCATTATAAATTTGCTAAAGACACACTCTGTGTCATTTTTCACGTCGTTGATGAAGGTATTAAACAATATGGGCTCTGCATCAACCTCTGAGAGACCCCTGGGGCACTCTGCCACCAAACAGATGTTAAGCCATTAGTTACTCCCCTTTGAGCCTGGTAGTCCAGCCAGTTTTCAATCCACTTCACAGTCTGCCATCCAGCCCATAACTTCCTCAGTTTTAAAATGACAATACTGTAAGAGACACTGACAAAAGCCTTGCTAAGTATATATTACATCTGCCACACTCCCTGTACCTGCATTTCATCACAGAATGCAACCCCAGTCTACGGAAGTACTCTAACTGCTTGGTATTGCATAAAAGAGAAATACCCAGGCCCTTCACAAAGAGAAAGAACATCTCCCTTCTGCGTTATTTTCCAAAGTCTGATCTTACAGGCATGTGACAGATACACTCAGAGATCAAGCCTGCACAGGAGAATTGCATACCTTATAGATCCTAATAAAATTTAAGAACTCATTGATTGCTGGTACATATGAATATTTTTAAGGTCAAAGTGCTTCTCTACACGCTCTGAAGCTGAATATTAGATGCCTGGAGAACTTCAGTAACAGAAATTTGACTCCCTAAGGCAGGCTGCTAAATGGACTCATATGAGTTGGAGCAAAAGGGCAAAAATAAGTTGTTCCTACCCCTACAGAGTCACAGCCCCAAGCTGATGACAAAGCATTCTAGTCCACACTTCCTGGAGCTTTTAGATGAGAAGAGGCAAAATTTTTGCAGTTTGAAAGTGTGATTTCATAAACAAATACAAAATATTTTCTGGGCAGCAATATGAATCAAGACCAAGCAGTAGTTTTAGCTTTGGCTGTTTAAATCAAAGTATTGCCTCAAGAGTTTCTTTAGATAATGGTTCCCTGTACTGTTCTTTGTAAACTCACACTGCTTCTGCTACATCCTAGCACAGCTGAAGGGGCATTGGGCTGGCTTCTTCTTCTTCTTCTTGTACAGTACTGCCCTGAAATGGATATATTTATCCATAGTGGTTGTTCCAATTTGATGTTTGTGAAATAATGTGCAGACTGTGCTATGCACTCTCAGAATGGTCCTTTCTCAGCACAAGATATGGGTTGTCTACTCTGGGACATAGAAGCAGGACATCTGGAGCCATATGAGGATACTGGTGTCATTGGACATTAAAGGAAAAGAAGTCCAGAGCTTAACACAAAGACAGTTCAGATTTGTACTTTTTTTTTTTTTTTTTAAGCCCCTGAATTATACTTTGGCAATGCTCCAAACCACAAGTTAGCATATCAATGTTCAAAAAACGTATTTGCAAAAAGCATAACATACATTCAAGAAACATAACAGTATTTGAAACCACTGCTCTTTGATACAGAATTCCCCAGAGAATTCCCTCTGAATCACAAGCAAGTTGTCCTCATTTGTAAACCTCTGCTCCAGAGCCTGACCCCACAAACAGCTAGTGCTTTTTACAGTCTTTGTTCCAATGAGTTGCACCACTCAAGTCTAGTATTCATCTTCATAATTTAACACAAATTAAGCAAAATTAATTTAAAATTAGTATTTAAAATGCATTCAGCCCTGTAACAGATACAGCCATTTCAAAGACCAATGCCTTAACTCAGGCTAGAACTTCAGAAGTGAAGTGAGTCAGTTAAAGCTAATTTAGTTCTAAGCTTTGAATGCAAATGCATGAAGACATTACATGGAACTGATGCACTTTAAAAATTAGTTCAGGTTAACTCTTCTGAGGTTTAGACAATGAGGACTGTTTGTGGAGCTTAGTATAACTCTCAGTAACATGCTTTTCTGAGAAATAATAAGATCACTATTTCAGATATACATTTCAAACTGTAAAAGGTTCAGGCAGACATGACAGCAACAAAAAACTGGATATGTTTATAACTAGTATAACTCTTGCGATATTAACAAAGCTAACAAAGGCCCCTCAGGCATATAATTAAAAGTATTTCCCATCTCATCTACTTTAGCGAGAATAAATCATAAAAGCATCATAGATACTACACCTTTTTCCTTAGTAACTTCAGGCTCTGTGATATTATCCACTTCATAGCTGTTTCCAAATTTCAGATTAGCATATGTTACTTCTTCTGTCATAGCTGGTAAAAAGAAAAGCGTCAGAACAAAAAGGCAGAAAAAGATATAGCATTTGCAGCTAGTAAGCTAGGAAGAAAATCTACCCCTTTGCAGGGTTTCCTTATATCAGCAGATACAAATGAAACGGCAGAGACATCAAGATACGTCTGAGCTTCCTGAATCACAGCAGTGCCAAGAAACTGTTCCTCTCTCACTCATTGCTATATTCTCTTTCTTCCTCTTTACCTCACTTCTGTCCTCCCTGACTGGCATATATGTCTTTCTGCCATTATTGAAGACAACACAGCCACTTTTGCAGAACTCTTCTCATTAGAACTCTTCTTCTTTTGGATAGACAACATTTAATTCCTGATTCCATCAGGTTCGGGCTTGAAACCCAGAGTTGAATGAAATGTTTTACAGCTTTGAGGCTGTGCTTTAGTTTGGGCAGCTGTGTTCAGCAGCAGATTTGAGATCATACTTCAGTTTCTGTTTCCTAACAGAATCTGCTGAAAGCAAACCAGACGGTGGACTTGCATCTTAAAGCTGGCAAATTGTGCTCTGATCCAAAAGAAGTAAGCACTTGTGCTCGAGGTTGGCACCTCAGCTGGGATATGTCAGGGTGTTGGCTCTTGCCTTCCATGCCACCTTCCCAAAGTGATTGTTTGGCCTGGGAGCTCTAAGTCACCAGACTAGAAGGACCTCTTGACAAAGGCAACATCTCAGAAGATATTTTCTTCCACTCATTTTCCTGGCATTCATGTTTTATTTCCATTTCTAGAATATTTTTTCCTATTCTTCATTTCTTCTCCAGAACTACAGCATGAGGAAAAGCATACACTAACACTCAGATTTTGAGGCTGCACAGTAAAGTAAGTCTTCAAGAAAACAAATGTCACATATCTCCCTCACAGAGATGGACACAGCTGTAGAAACTACCTTTCTCTGAGGTGCATAAACAATCCTACAGAGGAAAAGAAATGACAGGGAGACCTAATTAGCCAAGGAGGGAGTACATGTTTCATTGCATGAGAAATTGGCCACCTGCTCTGCTGCTGTGTCGCTGCATTTCTCTGGAAAGCAGCAATTCTTTGTTATCATGGTAGGGCACTGCTTTGCTGGACTGTTGCTGTTATGCAAAGAGTTGTCTAGGGTAAATTTTCTAACATGTCGCAAATTTTGTAAATGGCATAACTGAGACCATGACACAGGACCTTTTAGAGCAAGAGCAAAATATTCATCTGGTGCCGAAACATCAGTGATTCTATCTGGAGTAGTAAGGCAGACAGATTCACTCCTTAATGTAAACAGAAGCAAGAGAATAGATTATCTGGGGACTTTTGCACCCCTCTTCATGATGTTTTTTAACACTTCCACAGTTGTGAAACCTGAAATGTGCATGACGAAATATGCATGACGGATATCTCGAGTTTCTGGTAACAATTTTGCAATTTAGGAAAAACAATGAATGGAACAGAAATAGATTAGGCACACACATTACCAGCTGAGTGATTAGCATAAGGCTTATGTACACTATTCTACCCTCTGTTAGGAGTGTAACATGCTCCAAAAATGAGCAGGAGTATAAGCTAATCCTCCTTTGTACTTTTGGACCTGCATAACTGAGACTTAGGCTTAAATTTTTTGCTTTATGGACAAAATTAACCAAACATTCTTTATATCAATGCTAAAATCAAAATGACTAGTCTAAATTAACAAAAGAAATTTTGGTTGTTCAAATACAGGATTGGCTATGTAGATGGAACATAAAAAAGTACATTTAATACAAAATATCAAAAAAACCAGCCAAGGTTTCAATAAAGCAAACTCTACTAAAAATCAACTTGACCTGGTTTTGGGGGAATTTTTTGGCTACTGTTCTTTCCCACAAATGTGCTTGTTTAGGGAAGTGTTATTGCTCAAACATGTTTATTTGTAAATACCTAAAATGGTTCATCAGTTTAGTTCCCCAAAATAACTCTGGAGCTTTTGAAAGTCCCACTCTACATCCTCTCCTGGGCACCTCAACTTTCAGAGTATCTTCATTAACTTAAAGGAGGCAAGCCAGCACCCAGCACCTCTGAACGCTGTAATGTTTTTGTGTAGGTGTTAAGAAAAATAAAACATCTGTATAATTATATCCTTTTAATTTACTTACTGTGTATTATAATTTAGTATTTGTCTATTGCTCCAGACAATCAGAAATTATAACAATTTAGGAGAAACCATACATAAGGTCTAAAATGAAGAAAGTAAGATAAGGCTCTAACAGAAAACCTATATAGTCCTCCTAATGTAGTATGACTACTTGTCAGCTGAGAAATGCTATCTCTTCTCCATTTCTTAACTGACCCTTATACAGAGTGAGGAAACTTCTGGCTGTTTGAAGTATTAAAATATTAAGAAAAGACATAAATGTGAGAATTTCAGTATTTGTTTTATCTAGGCAGCGGATTCCCACAAAATCCTGGACTTACAGGAAGAAGCCCTTGCTGTTTATTTAGTTGATACATAATCTGTTGTGCTGCATCTCAAAAATGTGTTGGGAAGATCTGGAAGGCTACAAACATCATTTGCAAATTGACAGTGCTGAAGGTAAATAGGAGAAAGATTTTTTGACTGAATCTAAAACAAAGACTGTTTCTAATTTGTTGTAAGCAGATACGGCTACAGTTCATTCTCCAGTTCATTCCTAAGGAAGAGAAAAATCAAAATGAAATACAATAATGCAAATGGCAAGGCCACATATATGGGAACTGGCAGCCAGAATTTTCAGAATCAGAAAGGGCTCAAAAAGAGAAGGACCTGAGTATAATAATACTTCCCGCGAGTGTGAGTAGGAACTAGGAATACACTGTGGCTGTGAAGATCCCATATCAGTTACATCAGAGGAAGTATCTAGAGCAAAGGTAGTGAAATCCAAGTGCCGGTGCATAAAGCAGTAGTGACACTACATCTAGAATACTCTGCAGCATTGTTCCGATCACCAAACTTTAAGAAGTATATGATCTGTTTGGAAAAGTTGAAGAGAAGGACTATCTGTAAAAACAGTCAGATAAAGTTTCTGTCATACTTCAGGAGACTAAATGATCTTCAATTGTTTATCCTTGCTAGTTAAGGACAAGTAAGGTTATTGTACTCAAGTAAGGTTCTTGTGCTCAAGAATGTCTGGCCAAGAGTAAATGATTATAGCCTAGTTTATGAATATTTTAAAGCTGTAAATTAGAACAAAATTTTCTTACACAGGATAATTGAAATTCTGTAGTAGCTTTCAGACAGGAGTATCTGTTATAATTCAACCCTCCAAGTAAGCTGAACTTACACTTTCATCTTCCTTTTGGGAAAAATAGGCCTACAGGTTGATAGTCATAGATAAGGTTCATTAATTACTACTGTACTCATAAAAACCCATGCAAAGTCAGATATCATGGGAAGGATCCTTTCAATTATAAGGTGCCTTTTTTAAAAAACTAAACCACAAAACCATTATTACAAATGGAAAAGCAAGCAAACAAGGAAACCAAAAGAATCCTCAAACCTGAAAAAGCTATAGCAGAATTATCTACATCCCTAATCTCACAGCTGCTCGTCTAGGCATGTAATACACCAAAGTTTAGGCAACATGTGCGTTCAGAAGAGCTAGGGAAGTGAAAGAAATGTATCAGACCTGCTGGAATATACTCAGATCAGCAAGCTTGAGTGACTAAGATCAACTAGCTGACTGTGCATAAGCACTTCTCCTAAAACTCAACAGAACAGAAAAATTCAGTAGCGCAAAATAGAAGACCATGAGCTTGGAAGACTAATAGCCAAAAGGACTGTTTGGAACAATAAGTTAATCTGCTGGAAATGACTGTGAAAGCTGTTCACAGGATGTATATGGACCATTTGCATCCTGTGAGCATGATAAACTTTGGGAAATGTGTTCCTAACAGAAACAGAGACAAACTGGTGCTCAAGCTCTGCTTCATCTGGGGTCCACTTATGGTTAAAGCATCTCTAGTCAGAAAAGGCAACCAGAACTAGAGTGCAGGAAAAGGCTATACTGATGATGGGAATGGGAGGCCCCTCTTACAGCAGAAAGTCTGAAAATTTTGTCTCATTTAGTTTGGCAGAATGCCATCTGGAAAAGGAAGTGGTTGGCTTCTTATAGATAGTCAGCCTCAACGAAGACACAGCTGAAGTGCCTCTATGCAAATGCATGGAGCATGGGGAACAAACAGGAGGAGCTAGAGATGTGCACATACCTCCAAGGCTACAATCTCATTGGTATTGTGGAAACTTGGTGGGATGACTCCTATGACTGGAATGTTGCCATGGAAGGCTACAGGCTCTTCAGGAAAGACAGGCAAGGGAAATGAGGAGGCGGTGTTGCCTTATATGTTAACGAGCAGCTGGAATGCATGGAGCTCAGCCTAGGGATGGATAAAGAGCCAACTGAGAGCCTATGGGTCGGGATTAAAGGAAAATCGGGAGAAGGGGACATTACAGCAGCGGTCTGCTACAGGCCACCCGACCAAGAAGACCGAGTGGATGAAGCCCTCTATAGACAGATAGGGGCGGCATCACGTTCACAGACCCTGGTTCTCATGG